AGATTACAATGTGTTGTGTTAGTGTATTTAATTTTTGCTTTTATTTATCAATAGTATACTACATGAAATTGTATGATTTATGTATGAGTTGAGTTTTTAATATTTTATATTATAATTAAACATGAATATTGAATGAAATAGTGCTGTATGTTTTGTATATGATATAATTTAAATATATCAGTATATGATTTGATACATAATAAATGTATTAGTTTTGTATGATTTTGTGTATGAAATAATTAGTCATTATCGATACAGGAGTGTATGCATTATGTATTACCTTTGTATCATATATGTATGAAATGATATTCTTGTCCAGTTAAATATATGTGTATGAATAATGTATTAATGTTGTGTATCCTATAATTTTGACTATTATAATAAGTATTACAACTATATATTTTATTTTTTGATTTTGATGTATGAATTGACATATTCATACTAAATGAGTTTAGTATGTAGTTTTAAAGTCACATATTAGTGTTTTTTTTAAAATCGTATATGTATTAATATTGTATGAATTGTGTATGAACTGAGGCATATAATTTGTATGATTTCTGTATGAATTGAATTAAATGTCCATCGAATATGTATTAATATTGTATGAATTTTGTATATAATTTGTATGATTTGTGTATGAAATTGAATGTCAATTTAATATAGAATTGTATATATGATTTTTTCTATGGAATTTTATAGTATATAAAAAGTAATAATTCAGTTTTACAAATTTTATAGGAGAAGAAGGTTCAAACACATTTATCTTTCTGTATCAACATGATTTTGTTTGCTGATTTGTTGACCTTGCTCGGTCAAGATAAGTTTCAGCAATTTTTACAAGAAATTCCATTTGGATTTTTTTATGATTTACATACATAAAAATCCAATGTCAATTGTTATGTCATACTTTCCTTCTTGAATTTGAAACTGGCAGGGATGACATGTTCATTATCAATGTAAATGGTACAGAGTTACGTTTTGACTTAAAAGAGTTGATCGTTGTAACCGATCTAAAATCTTGACCAATTTCTGATTTTGTTTCTGATCCATCTGTTCCAAATAGATTAATTGCAGAAAATTTCGGAGAGTTTGACAAAGTCCCCAAGTCAAATTTTTACCACAAGTTTAAATTGGAAAACTTTTGGAAGAAGATGACCATTTATAGTTAGTTTATATAATTCATACACACTTCATACACATTTAATATATCATTCAATGTCCTACAAACTACTCCAATTAAATAAACACAATATAATTTTAATAAAAAATTAATACAAAAACATATATTCTAATTTCAATAGAAACTAGAATATTTTTTTTTAAAAAAAGGACTTTCATAAACATTTGATACACGTTGCGTATACTTATCATACACTAATAATACAAACTCCAGACTTCAAATAAGCTATACGTAACATGACCATTTCATTCAAAAAAAATAATATACAAACTGTTTTCAGATAATACAGTTATCAAAAAAATCTAACACTGTTGTACAA